TTGTGATGCTGGCCAGTCTGGGGCTAGTTGCTTTGTAGCTGTCTAGGATGTGGATTCTGAGGGAATATCTGGGGCTGGCAAGATGCTGGAGCAGTTTTTAGTTGATTTGAAATCTGCTGGGACAGATAGACCAGATACTGAAGGTAAAGTTAAGGAGTTTACAGGAAATTTTTTATCTTGGCTGTACATTTGAAACTTTTAGCCTTGTGGTCCTACTTGGGGAAAGGGGGTCCCAAGGCCAGAGAAAGGGGAAAAGGGCCAGGGAGAGGGGGGAGATTCCACCCTCACGAATAGACCGGTGGGGGAATTCAGGATGTTGGGGAGCAAGGTTTACACAACAAAGTATAGTATACCTGAGAATACTGGGAAAAACCAGATCTTGGGGTTCAGAATTTAGGATTTGTATATATGGCACCAGACCAACACCCAACAAGTGAGTTAACAGTGGAGTGTGGAATATTGGCTGTGTATTCTGACTGTGGGTGAGGGAAAGGGGTGAGTGGTGGAGAGAGTGACCAGTGTGCATTTAGGCTGGTCAGTCAACATCATCAGAGATCTGAGGATGCATTGTATTAGGAGTTATAAACGAAATGACATCTGTATCAGTTAAAATAGCAGAGATTTTTCATTACCTAGACAATAGACCTAGGCTCCTGGGGTCTTGATGTCTGGGCAGTAGTGGTAGGCCTTCGGCTGTCATACTGGCCGGTGGCCTTGGGCTAGCAGATTCAGATCTGAGAGATTTTTTGTTTTTGTACTTGGGAAAATTGACATCACTTTGACTAGGCAGAGCAGGGCAATTAACCCAAAAGTGCTTGCAATTGGAGCAGAGTCCTAACAGCCCTAAGACATGGGCAACTTGCCCAGTGGTTAGTGTTACCACAATCCAGATGGAGTCACTGTCATCATTGTGCCCTATCTGTCGTCTTTGGAGACCACAGGGTTTGTGTTAGACGTGGATATGTCTGAAAGGAACTCAAAGTTGGCACAAGACACCTCGAAACAAACAAGATTTATTTGCCCCTGTGGGAGAAAGGGCAGGGAATAAGAGACAAAGACAGGAAACAGAGGATGAACAAGAAAAGAAAGGAACAAGTTGGGAAGGGGGGATTGGGCCAAGAGGGACCAAGGACTGCCTCAGGATAGAAAGGAGACAGGCACGCCTATAAATAAATGGCAGTTTGTAAAGGAAAAAGGAAATCCCCGTGTTAGGATGAGCTGGCTAATTTTAATTGGGCAGGTTAATTAGGTGAGCCAAAAGAGGGCTTCTGATAGCTGGACCTTGATAGGCGGCCTCAGGAGGAGCACGTGGCCAAATGATGAATAAGACCTTGGTGGCTAGCTTTAGGAATGTAATCTAACAGTTTACCAAGGCAGAGGGAATGGGGAAAGGGCAAGGCCTGCCAAAGCCATGTTTACAGTGCTCAGGCCCACTAGAAAGCCTTTCAATGTCTCTATAATTTTTAAACATTTTAAATGTCATATTCAGCAGATCTCTGAAGAGTTTGAGGACCATCTACCTAGTATGTTTGATTTTAGGCTTAACTTTTAAAAAGAAAAAAATTATATATATATATATATGTATCTTAGGTGTGTGTAGTCCAAGGAGGGAGAGAGAGTGGAAAAGTGAAACTATGTTGAAGGGAAGTGGAGATAAGAGACATTTGGCAGTGTAGAACAGAATGAGATATTAGAGATTTAGGGATCTTGTATTTGTGTAAACCACAGGAGTTTTGATAGAGGAAAAGACCGAGCAAGCAGTTGAGGACAGGAACAGGTTAATTGGGGAAAGTGGCTTACAAGGTGGGAGAAGATGGGCCTAGGGAGGGGGAGATGACAGACCGGAACTATATTACCTCTCCAAGGTAGAGGTAAGAGGGATAGAGAAAGATGAGTGCACAAGGGAAAGGGAAAAACAACAGCGGAGAATTTGGCTTCAGGAAGGGAGACCAGAGCAGAGGCAGCTGCAGGTGGAGGGTTTAACAGCTTAAGCTGCCACAGGAGTCAGTGTGGCCGGTTTCTCATCTGTAAAATTAAGAAATGAGATGGGAGGGGCTGCCCTGAATAGGTGGTGGTACGTGGGATTACAGCTACGATGGCTGAGGGACTGGCTAGAAACTACTAAAGTTCCTCTGGGATCAAAGAGAATTTTCTAAGAGCATAATGGACAGAGAGGAGAAGACCTACGGTGGCTGTGAAGGGCCTGATATATGTAAAATCAATATCTTCTGATGGTCATGAACTTATTGTAAAATGAGAACATGAGTTAACATCAGGAACAATGAAGGCCATGTTGAGTGGTCCAGGTCCGTTTGCCAAGAATGAAACCAACGAGGTCAATTTTAGAGAGATCCCTTCACATGTGCTATCGAAAGTGTGCATTATTTCACCTACAAGGTCCGCTATCCTAACAGCTCCACTGAAATTCCTGAATTCCCAATTGCACCTGAAATTGCACTGGAACTGCTGATGGCCACAAACTTCCTAGATTGTTAAATAAAATAAATTATAATAAACGGTTAATTCTTCTCAGTATTTAATACCTGTAGTTCAGTTAGTAATTTCTTCACATATAGCATGTTGCCTGTATGAAATCGAACTCTACAGTTAATTGCTGAGCAGATTCCTTCTGTCATTTTCGTAGCAGAGTTGAAATCTGTTTGCTACATCAACAAATTAAGGACATCTCACAAGCCAAAAAAATAAATAAATAATGCCAGTTTCTAGGTGGTTTGTTTTCTCCTTTGGACGTGACCTTTAAAATTGTAACTGATATAGCAAATCCTGGAATGTAAGCGTAAATGATTATTCGACAGGTAAATACAGGAGCTTTTATGGTTTTAGTGTTTTTTTTAAGAACCGGTCCCGATCTTAAGCCACTAAGCAATGCTAGAGTTATGCAAATACTTATATGAAAAACATGTTTATAACTTAGCCAAACCTTGATTTTTGTAACTCAAGGAATAAGAGTTGAAATTTCTTATGTGTTTTTTGATAAACTGCAGTATTGTTTAAGTGCAAAGAAAGAAAGAAAGAAAGAAAGAAAGAAAGAAGGAGGGAGGGAGGGAGGGAGGGAGGGAGGGAGGGAGGGAGGAAGGAAGGAAGGAAGGAAGGAAGGAAGGAAGGAAGGAAATGAGAACGGAGGTGGTGAAGGCCTGTGATCTCAGCACTCAGGAGGAGAAGGCAAGAGGTTCATGAGCTCAAAGCCTGTGCTACATAGCGAGATACCATGTGTTTGAATACGATTGGCCCAGGGAGTGGTACTATTAGGAGGTGTGGCCTTGTTGGAGGAAGTGTGTCACTTGGAGGAAGTGGGCAATGAGACCTGTTTCCTTATCACATGGGAGCCAGTCTTCTCCTAGAGGCTGTCAGATGATGATTTGGAACTCTCAGCTCTGCCTGCACCACGTCTGCCAGGATACTGCCAGTGTTCCCACCTTGATGATGATGGACTGAACCTCTGAGAGTTGCCTTCGTCATGGTGTCTGTTCACAGCAGTAAAACCCTAACTAAGACACCATGTATGAGGAAATAGTGTTTTCAAGACAGACCAGGGAATTATGGACTCACAGAGTCTATGGCAGCATACACAAGACCTGCTCAAGCTGAGGCCAGAGAAGATCTTACACAGAGGCTAAGAAGTGGATAATAGAGTCCCACCCTTGGCCAAGAATCTGTTCACAATTAATAGCTTCTTTTTGTGTGGGGTGGGGTGAGCAGAGAGGAGACCAGTGTTTTTCCAATCTGGTGACACTGGGTATATAATCCATGTTCCAGAGCAGCCCCAGTGTTCAGGAGTCACACACAAATCAGATTCCACATTTCTGGATTTGATTTTGTTTTTGTTGTTTTAGGTTTTAAAAGTGAAACAAGGAGGGGGGGAGGAAGGTAGGAAGGAAGGGAGGGAGGGAGGGAGAGAAAGAGAGAGAGGGAGGGAGGTGAGAGAGGATCTAGGTAGAGTTGGGGGAGGTATTAGAATATAAAGATGTATAGAATTCTCAAAGAATAAATAAAAGCATTTAAAAACAAAAGGTGAGTTCAAAGTTAGTAACGCTGAGCTTTTCACGTGTCAGGTGCCCTTCTAAGCACTTCATGGGCACTGACTTACGTAACGGCTGTGAAACATTGAACATGAGTCACTATAGACTTAAAGCATATACTAAAATACATATGACTCTTATGTTGAAATCTAATTCTCAGTGTGAGGTTGGAGACTTGTGTTACTGGGGACTGAACTTAGGATCTTGTGTATATACAGGCATTCTACTGTGACTTAGAGTATAAGGGTGAGGGGTCTTCTGAGTGGGATTAAGAAATCCTAGGAAACGCCTTCTACTCTGAGGACAAATGAGGCCACGTATGATTTTAGAAATGAATATGATGATATCTTGATCTTAAAGCTGCACACTGAAGAATGTTGTGTTCTGTCAGTCCAAACTAAATCCGGTGCCATCTATTCCAATACCCAGTAATCAGATGCGAGACCATCAATTGGTTCAATCCTCCTTCCCATACCACCAGGCCTTTGCCTCCCCACAAATTCAGCTTTCCGTTGCTAAACTTCTGGTGTTTAAGTTCTCTAAACGAAACTGAAAGGCGAATTAGAACCCGAAGGTAAATGTTTTGTTTCCTTTATTACCTATCATAGTCCAAATCTCTTTAGTAATACATAATGCAACGAAGTTGGATGCCAAAAGACTGGCAAAGTTCTCTGTGGTTCCTTGGCTGTGCCCGTCGCTCTCCGGAACAGCCCCGGACTTTAGACTGACGTATTAGCCGACTCTCCCCTCCAACCCCGAGTGCCCTGCCCTGTGAGCTATGGTCTCGCACGGGTCTGCTTGTTTAATGAGGCCTGCTAGGCCCAAACATCCACGCTGCTTACAACACGCCACGGAGCAGCCAGGCAACTCCAGGGAGTCCCCTCCTCCTCCTCCTCCTCACCGCGCGCCGTTGACCTACCAGCCTGCGGAAGTCCCGCCCCGGAGCCGCCCCAGCACGCCAGGCTCCGCCCCGCCGCCGCTGTCCGCACGCCGGTGCTGATCCACGTAAAGGCCGCTCGTCGCCCCGGTGCGCTTCCGCGGCCGGAGAGGAGATAGAGGCACCGAAAGCCCGCAGCCTGGTTGAAGGGGCCAGGGCCGCGCCAAGTCCGGCCGAGTCCGGCCCGCGATGCCTCTCGAAGCCGGCACGCTCGCCGCCTCCGTGAAGCAGCCAGGTCCCGGGGCCGCCGAGCTCTGAGGCCGCGCTCTTGCCATGGCCGCCCCGGGAGGATCCAGCCCGGGCTCCCGGCACCGCGCGCTCCGCGGGCTGCTGCTGCTCTGCCTCTGGCTGCCGGGCGGCCGGCCCGCGGAGCCGGCCCCTCCGCCGTCCGGAGTGGATAGGCTGCTTCAGGACTTTCGCCGGCAGCTGCAGCGGGCACGGCCTCGCGAGGAGCCGGAGCCGGAGCTGCTGGGCGGCCCGCGAGAGGATTGCCCCGGTGCGGGCGGTACGGCGGTCTACCGGGCGGTGCCCGATACCATCATCCGCACCCAGGACTCCATTGCGGCGGGAGCCAGCTTCCTGCGCGCACCCGGGACCGTGCGGGGCTGGCGGCAGTGCGTGGCGGCCTGCTGCTCCGAGCCGAGCTGTTCGGTGGCGGTGGTGCAGCTGCCCCGGGGGCCCAGCGTGCCCGCACCCATGCCCGCGCCCCGCTGCTACCTGTTCAACTGCACGGCGCGCGGTCGCAGCGTCTGCAAGTTCGCGCCGCTCCACGGGTACCGCACTTATACCCTCAGTCGTGCCGGGGATGCCGCCGGGATCTCGCCAGGGCCGGGTAAGCGCCACGAGGAGGGTCCCACCTGCTACCAAGCGTGCAAAATCCGCTGCTTCCAGAGGATTAAAGCTGCGGGTAACCGGGGAAAGTGGCTCACATTGTTTTCAGACTTTGGACTGATGCTAGGAAAGTGCAGTATACGGGCAGAAGCAGGGTCGGTTGGGCTGCCTTTGAAAGATAAGAGGCAGATCCGAGAGAACTGGCGGAAATTCGATTTAAGAGAGTATCTCAGAACCTTCTTTGTCGTCCCAGTAGAGATCATTTTAGTTTTATTTTGTCTCATAAGTTTTACAAAGCGTGTTTTACCGCAGGAAAAAAGCAAGGACAAGACTTGATTAGATGCAAAATTGTTCCTAACACCCACTCCTGCTTCCTGGTTTGGCTCTCTGCCTGCACATAGTTCCTTCAGCTAAAAATATAAAGGGAAACTTATCACTCGATCTCCATTCTTTTCTTCCATCTCTTGCCCAAAACTTTCCTCACATTCGTGACCTTGTTGGTTTTGTGTCCCACTGAATTTAAGGAGGGCCCGCTGTGTGCGTAGGGGATCGGAACTCTGTACTGGGGTCCGCTGGGCTCAGTACACAGTGGACAGTGTGTAAAGTTTGTCTCTCTTTAAAAGGCCTAAACAGCTTGCCCTGTGGTTTTTATATCAGTTGCTTCTAGAAGAACCAAGACACAATGAAGGGGCAAAGTAGCTGAGAAACAAAACTAATCCCCCCCCCCCACCCCCCAGGTACTCCGTGTTCATCCGAAAGAAATTTGCATTGCTACCTGAGAGCTTTCCTTAAACCTGGGGAAAGAAAAGTAAACAGGATGAACAGTGAGACCAAAACCAAAAGCCATTTAAATTGTTTTTCTCCTCCCTCTCCCTTTGTCCTTCCTTTCTCTAGGAGGAGTTTGCTATGACCACTGGCATGGCGTCCTCTCTGGGGAGCACCGACATGCCCACTCTGTGGGAAGCACTGATATGCCCACATTTCTTCCGGTCCTAAGCAATCTGTGATACAGCCTTGGCTCACAGGCTGCATTGATTAACCCTGCATGGAGGGCAAAGGGCATTTTACAGACTCTCGAGATTCCCCTGTCCAGATGCTTACCCTGTGAGCTCTTTGTGTTTGTGAGACTGCTTCAGTTTTCCTTTCTGGATTATTATGAGTTCCTTCCTCTTTTCTTATGAATCTTGTGAGCATGTGAAGCTTGGAGCTAAATGAATCAGTACTTTAGCGAAGCTCCTTCAGGGAGTTGTAACCAGTCTATTAAGAAGACACAGGGCAACGCTGGGTGGGATGCGACCCATCCGCTCTCAGTGAGTTTGATGTTAGAAGCTATTTTAAGCTATTTTCTATTTCTCACAACAGCTCAAAGGTCACATCCTGTTGTATGGAAGGCTGACCTGGAAAGCCACTTGCCTGAGGGCCACTCAGCAAGTAGTTTGCTGAGCTGAGCCCTGGAATAGCTCACAGTACTTCCCCTAATAGCTCCGAGGGTCTGTCACTCTCAAGCATAACAAGGCAGCTGTTAGGGATAGTGAGAGAATTGTAGGACAGAGTAGGGAAATCTTGCTGTGACAGAACCTACCTGCTAGAGCATCTGAAGCAACGCAGAGTGCCTGAAGTTCTCAGTCCTCCGGATTGAGTCCAGGCTCCTCCCACCCAAGTCCCTGGTAACCAACCATCTTGGACTTGAATGCCTTGCTTCTGTTCTAGCTCACATTGCCATAAAGACCAAGCGTGGATGTTTCCTGTGGTTTTTCCGGGCCGTATAGGTGTCTGTGGTATCGTTACAGAACCTTGGTTGGCTGGTGTGATTGATTGGAAAGATCTGTGGAATGCCTTGAGCTAAGAGGACTGTGGGGTGGAGGCTGAAGTCCTGTAGATCTTGTAGGAGCTAAGAATATAACCTCCCAGCCTTTTTGCTGTTTTGACTGAGCTAGCCTGAGGTCCCGTCTCTAGATAGAGCTTGGGAAGGCAACCCTTTGCGTCAAACCAAAGCCTGGGGTGAAATTCTGTCTTCTTCCAAGCAGACCTATCTCCCTCTGCTGCGGGTCTTCAAGTACGAAGTGAGAACTGACATTGCTGTTTCAGGGCTGATCCCTCCGCAGCAGGCTGACTCGTCTCCACAGGCCTCTTTTTTTGGCATGAGCAGTAATCACTTATAGTTCATAAACAATACTAAAATTATTTATTGGCAATGTTGGAGAAAATGCATCGAGACTTACAAATCTGACCACACACAAATCCCAGGAGATTTACTTTTGTTGTTGTTGTTGTTATATGTTTGTTTTTTTTTTGTTTTTCAAGACAGTCTCTCTCTGTAACAGAGCCCTGGCCATCCTGGACTCTTTTTATAAATCTGGCTGGCCTCAGACTCACAGAGGTCCACTTGCCTCTGCCTCCTGAGTGCTGGGATTAACACCGATGCTTATATCATTTCTTTACATAGTGCGTTTATGGGCATGCCTGTGGACATGCCTTATTCCACAGCATATGTATGGAAGACAGAGGCAAATTTGCAGGAGGTTGGTTTTCTTCTTCTGTCATGTCAGTCTTGGAGGTAGAATTCAAGTTATCAAATTTACTGAGCCATCTCACTGGCCCTATGTACACAAGGATTTTAAAATTAAGCCATAGTCTACGCCATGGTTAGAAAAACTAGAAGCTAAATTCAGTATTATCTATCTGGGCGGAAGAAGTCTTCAAATCAGTTAAGTAGATCATCAAAGAAAGATTTTGTACAAATTCACACACAAAAAAATGTGTCAATAAGTAAGGAATTGCAAACAAGAGTCTAGGAAATCTGATCTTAAGATATTACCTTAAGTTCTGAGCATTGGTTTGACAAAAGTAAGTTAACAAAAGATTCAAGTAAACAGTTTCCTGGTGAAGACATGCAATTGATAAACGCAGGAAATGGCCAGAGTTAAAGATAGTCAGAGGCCAGGCATAGCTTCAAGGGACAGCATTTAGCGAGCACATTGGAGGGTCTGGGTTCGATCCCCAGTACCATCAGAATGAGTGAAGAAAACAAAATAACCAAATGTAAATGTCTGCTTATACTTACTGAATTGTAAAAAACAACTTAATTTGGAAACTATATACTCATGGACATTGACAGTTTAAACTGGTACCAACCTCTTAGAATCCAACTAGGAAATAATGTGTTGGAGATTTAAAATACCCATTCTTCCAGGGTAGTGGTTCTCAACCTTCCTAATGCTTTAACACAGAACCTCAGGTTGTGGTGACCCACCCCACCATAAAATTATCTTTATGGCTACTTCATAACTGTAATTTTGCCAATGTTATGAATCTTAATGAAAATAATTTTGGAGATAGAGGTTTGCCAAAAAGGTCATGACCCACAGGTTGAGAACCAGTGTTCTAGGTTTTTTTTGTTTTGTTTTTAAGGAGAATAATCTGTGCTAGAGAAACAATATGAGCAATAACATGTTTACTGTGGCATTACTTACAGTGATAAAGTTGATGAAATTTAAATGCTTCATTCAGACGGACAGTGAACGTCAAGTGAGAGGATGCTGGTAGAACACTCAGCACACTACATGGTACAAATAACTTACCAGTAAGGGCAGTGAAGATGCACACATTTAACCACAGCACTCAGGAAGTAGAGGCAGAGGCAGAGGCAGGTGGATCTCTGTGAGTTCTAGGTCATCCAGGTCTATGAAGAGAGCCCAGGACAACCAAGGGCTCTGTTTCACAGAGAAACTTTATAAAAAAAAAAAGTATATAAAATATATAAATTATATAATATATAGCATATAATATTTATTGTATATTATAAATATTACATAATTGTTATGCAGTCATTTATTTAATTTTAACATTAATTTTATTAATTAAACTAATAATACATTATTGTATGTTATATAATAATTATTATTATAATTGTATTGGATCATCAGTCTCCTATGGGAAAGACAGACAAGACTCCACATACTAAAAATAATGAGAATCATACTGGAATTCTAGATATGTTTTTTTTCTTCAGTGCTGCAATTAAATAAATAAATAAATAAATTGAGTCTCCAGCCTGGAAAGGAATAACAAACAAGAACAGAAAGGTTGATACCTTTCTTTCATACATCAGCCTGTCTTCCCTTCCCTGGCCCCGCCCCGGTACTTTGTTTCAGTTTCTTTTGATTTCTCAGTCAGTTTGTATCCTTTGCACCACCTGGCACAGATTCAGAAGGTCTCTCAGGAAAGTGCCATTCACAGCTGGATGCTGGGAATGAGCTCAGCTAACACGTTCTCTAGGTTAAGTCCCACTTTGTAACATTGAGTCTCAGCATGAGTCGTATTTCACCTTCGTAGGTCTTACCCACTGTGTTTAGTTTCCAAAATAAATCAGTGTTCCTGTAGCACTTAACATGTTCAATTACATTTTTTTTATAATGAAATTTCGAAATGACATTTATCTCACTCTTAGAGAGTGTTGTGCTTTGTTTGCTTCCAGGACTGTTTCTGTGTAGATAAGCTGTGGTTTGTTTCAAAATACATTTAACAGTGTAATTAGCCTGACTGGAACTGGAGAGAAATTGTTTTCTCAGAGATCATCAGAGGTCAAGTTAAACTGTGGGTTTCCCTGGGCTCAGAAGTCACATCTATGATGCACTTAAACAAAAGTCAGTGACGGTTGTGACTTTTCTTCAGGAGAGGCAAGATTAATTTGTTTCATGACAACCAAGATATTCCAGTGCTTTCCTGATTCTTCCATGTAAACCCTTTGAAGGTTTTTTAAAAATATTATTGGGAGCTAAAGAGATGGCTCAGTGGTTAAAAGCACTGGCTGCTCTTCCAGAGGGCCTGGGTTCAATTCCTGCCCCCCACAGGGCCATTCACAACTGTCTGTAACTCTAGTTTCAGGGAATCTGACCATCATACAGACATGAATGCTGGAAAAACACCAATGCATATAACTTAAAAATAAATCATTTAAAAAAATTTAATGGGGCTAGAGAGATGGCTTTGTGGTTAAGA